AAAAAAAAAAAAAAAAAAAAAAAAAAGAAGGATGCTGTAGCTGGGGGGATCTGCACCTGGACGTGCAGATCATGCTATTAGGCTTTTGTGCGTGCACGTGCAGATCGTGCATTTGGGCATCTCCACATCCAGGTGCATTCTTTCTTTTTCGTTTTTTTTGTGGGGAAAGGAACTCCAATGAAATACATGCTGGCTCAACCCTATATATCGTCACAATCAGAACTGCCCGGTAAAACCGTAGGCAGAGAGAGAGAAGAGGACAACAAACGAGGGGCTGTGACAAACTCTATATATGTATATAGATATAGATATATGTACGCTGTTCTTTTTCTTCTTTCAAAAATATATGTATGCTTTAAAAACAGCATGGTTCATCAGATGAAATACACTCGCAGAATGGGCATCGCTCCCCTACTCACCACATGCACAAAAAGACAAAAAAATATGGCAGTGTATCTTTCGATGTTCCAGGGGAAGATTCATTCTCATTCTGCACATTTGGTGAGTAGTGGACCGAGGGCCAATAATTGGATTCTTTGGACCCATTCTCTCTCTCTCTCTCTCTCTCTCTCTCTCTCTCTCTCTCTCTCTCTCTTTCTCTTTCTTTCTCTTTTTTTTTTTTTTTTTTTTTTTTTTTTTTTTTTTTTTTTTTTTTTTAGGTCCGATGGCTCCGTACATTGGTTCTTTTGGCTTCTTCTTTTTTTTCTTTTCTTTTTTTGGCTTCTTCTTTCTTCGAAGTCGCGGGTTCGGAAGCATGTGTTTCTTTTTTTTTTTTCCTTTCTTTTTTTCTCTTTTTTTTTCTGGAAGCAGGATTTGTACCCATGATCTGTGTACTAATAACAGTTACACGTGTTTACAGTTCAGCCTCAAGGGCGACCGTCTCCGTCTTCGCCCGAATACAACGCCCGGCAATTATGGCTGTATTTGGCGCAACTTTCCGTCCAGATACAGCGATAATGACCCTGCGTTGTATTCGGGTGAACGCATGTGTGTGTGTGTGTGTATGGAAAACTCTCTCCTACCTTTCATTTCCCTCTGTCATCTATTTCTCGTCCGAGTCGCAACCCTAAATTTCTCTCCACAAAAAAAAAAAAAAAATCCTCTCCACAATAAATTTAATAATCGTTTTTATTTTTATTTTTTTATTCACCTTGTACCGATTGCTGCTCGTACAATTCCTCCTCCTCTTCCTCGTTCTCCTCCCCTCCCCCTCCTCCTCTCCTTCCTCTTTCTCCTCCTCTTCCTCCGCCTCCTCCGCCTCCTCCTCCTCCTCCTCCTTCTCCTCCTTTACATCCTCCTACTTCACTTCCTCCTCTTCTTTCTCGTTCTCCTCCTCCTCGTCCTCCTCTACCACCTCCTCCTCCTCCCCCTCCTCTCCTTTCTCGTTCTCCTGTTCTTCCTCCTCCTCCTTCTTGACTCCCTTCTGCTTCCCTTCCTCCTCTTTCTCGTTGTCCGCCTCCTCCTCCTCTCCTTCCTCCTCTTCCTCCTCTTCCTCCTCTTCCTCCTCTTCATGCGGCTTTGGAGTGTCTTCCACGCTCTCTCCGCCGTCGGACTCTTTTCTACCCGTTTGACTAGTTTGAGATCCAGACTTTTTTTTAAGGGTTTTTTTTTTTTTTTTTTTTTTTTTG